CCATTAAAAATAAATAAACAAACAAACAAACCAAATCTCCACCCTCAGCCAAAAAAAAATTATTAAAAAAAAAAAAGGAAACCGTAAGTAAAACAAAACAACAACCTACAGAATGGGAGAAAACTTTTGCAAATGAAACTGACAAAGGCTTGATCTCCAGAATATATAAGCAGCTCATACGACTTAATAAGAAAAAAAATCAACCCAATCCAAAAATGGGCAAAAGACCTAAACAAGCAATTCTCCAAGGAAGAAATACAAATGATCAATAGGCACATGAAAAAATGCTCAGTATCACTAATTATCAGAGAAATGTAAATCAAAACTACAATGAGGTATCACCTCACACTAGTCAGAATGGCCATCATTCAGAAGTCCACAAATGACAAATGCTGGAGAGGCTGTTGAGAAAAGGGAACCCTCCTACACTGCTGGTAGGAATGCAGTTTGGTGCAGCCACTGTGGAAAACAGTGTGGAGATTCCTCAAGAGACTAGGAATAGGCTTACCATATGACCTAGGAATCCTGCTCCTGGGCATATATCCAGAAAGAACCCTACTCAAAATGACACCTGCACCCCAATGTTCATAGCAGCACTATTCACAATAGCCAAGACACGGAAACAGCCTAAATGTCCATCAACAGATGTGGTATACTTATACAATGGAATACTATTCAGCCATAAAAACTGACAACATAACGCCATTTGCAGCAACATGGATGTTCCTGGGGAATGTCATTCTAAGAGAAGCAAGCCAGAAAGAGAAAGAAAAATACACTATGAGATCGCTCATATGTGGTATCTAAAAAAAAAAAAATACAAAACAGAAACAGACTCATAGACATAGAATACAAACTTGTGGTTGCCAAGGGGGAGGGGGTGGGAAGGGACAGGCTGGGATTTCAAAATGTAGACTAGATAAACAAGATTATACTGTATAGCACAGGGAAATATATACAAGATCTTGTGGTAGCTCACAGCGGAAAAAATGTGACAATGAATATATGTATGTTCATGTATAACTGAAAAATTGTGCTCTATACTGGAATTTGACACAACATTGTAAAATGACTATAACTCAATAAAAATGTTAAAAAAAAAAAGAAACACAAATAAAACACTTCATTCTGCACTGGGAAAAAAAAAAAAACACGGGGTGTGGGAAAGAAAGTAAAGGAAAACAAAGTTTCTATGGGTTTATGTAGGCTGGAATAAAATGCAGCTAATGTGAAAAAAAAGGCAGTGTCCTGGCTCTCATGCACTTGAATCCAAGTGTGAGTCATGCATGAACTTAGAATGAGGTACTTCCTCATCTACTCCTATGAAATAGACCAGAAATCAACAGTCAACAAAAATAGGACTTCCAATAGTCTTAGGCAAAATGAGAACAACCCACTTTAGAAATATAAATCTAACCCAATGAGGAAAATTGTACATTGTTCTTTCCCAAACAAAAACTGCCTGCTTCGCTGCATTCCTATATGCTTTTAGCCCAGAAGGAAGGGTCTTCTTGCAGGAAATCACTTAACTGACGACAAAATGTAAAATTCCAAAACCTTTGCCAGCAAATAATCAGATTCACAAAATGAGAGAAAAGAGGAGTGGGCAATTAAGCAGTCACGGCACTGTGATCAGAGCCAGAAGTCTAAGAGCTTAAGTCCATCTTTCTATTATCTCTCTTTTGATTAAGAAGCAATAGCTTCTTAATTGGTCTCCCCTCCTCTAATCATACCTCTCTCCAAAAGCTGCAAAGGAATGAATTTTTATGAATACGACACTATTCATTGCTGTTGAAAGCCCATCAGTGGTAGCCCATCACCTTCAGTCTGAAATAGAAACTGACGGGATATACAAGGTGCTTCCTATCTGGTCCCCACATCCTGGCTCTCTTCCAGCCACACTAAATTACCTCCAGTCCCCTAGACGTGGCAAACACACCTCTTTATAGTTCATATTTGTTTGTGCTGTTCCCTCTACCTAGAATGTCCTGCCTTCCCTTCTCTGGGAGAACCCTATCATCTTTTGAGACATCATGAGTGTTATCAACTCCAGAAAGGCTATCCTGACTTCCCTAGTTTGGACTGGATACCCCTAGTCTGGGACCACAGTGACAATCTTAACATCAAGACTGAAGGATGCATTCTCCAAGAGAATATGCAGGCAAATGAAAAGCAGGAGCCATGGTGATCATTTGGATTTAGCCAAAAAAAAAAACCTCTAACCTAATTTTAAAAACTGTGTAGAGCTCCTGAAGCTTGCCTATAATTACACAAGGTGTATAATTTAAAGACTTCTCAGTGGGAATTGTGTGTATATGTTTAGATTAATACATAAAATATTTATATATATATTTTACTTTTAAAAATAAATACAAAATATTTAAAATATACCTATATATAACTATACATTTTAATGTTATACATATGGATAAATAAATGGTTTTATCTGATGCCAGAGCAGCATCATGGGTCAGCTGAGCACAAGAGGAATACTGAACAGTAGAGAAAAAAGGGTAGCTGATGCCTAAAAATACCCTTTATTCAGATACCTCCAAAGTTAAAAAAGAAACTATAGACAAATTCCCTGTTATCTGCATCTGGGATCTCCTTCCTTCCAGGGCAGAACTTTTCCCAGAAGGGGAAAGGGAAGATGCTTAAGCAAGAAATGGATCCCAATTCAAGCTGGTACAGGACTGAGGAACAAGACTTTAGTCGTTCCCCTTCAATAATGCTTCCTTTCAGGGCACCAAGGATGTCTAGCAAATAGGAGATGACTCCTTCTTTAACAAAAAAAATCTCCAAGTCTCAACTCAAATTCAGCATAAAACATTAAGCAGGCAGTTTTTTTTTTTTTAAAAAAAGAACTTGGCACCACTCCACTCCTTCCTTTCCGTTCTGCCCATGCTGGTCGGCTCCACCAGCCTCTCTTTGTATGCTCCTCTCTGACTCTAATTTCTTACTCTGTGAAGTTTGAGAGCTTGGGTCCAAGCCCGTTCACACTTACCTTCCGAACCTGCCTATGATTATGCTCGGGTTCCCCACCGTTGCTTCACTTCACTCCTCCTATTCTTTTGCCTTTCTAAATTTCACCACCTACTTGTCTCATCCCATTCTATTTTAGAGATTTTTTTAAAAATAAAACTCATTAAAACCTTTCTGGAAAAAAAGGCAGGGTGCAAATTAGTAATATGTAAAACGTGCTTTTCCATCATCGGTTCTGCTCAATACTCAGGGAACTTCCCCCTTAACTGCTGTGGCCAAACATACAGACTGAAGAAAGCAATCTGTTTGCCACATTTCATGTGAAATGCCTGCTACAAAACACAAAGCTGTGACTCACTTGATTATTTCCTTGTGTGCTCCCGGCTGCTCGAGACTTCAAAGTCTGGATTTTCTCGAAGACCAAGTTGACTTTCCTCTTAGTAGCATCATCATTATCGGTGCTTCTAGAAAAGAGGCAACAGAAAAAAATAAAACAGTGAAGGCACAACCATTGGTCTTAGAACACAAACAGCAAGCCCTTTAAGAAAATAAATTATAAGAGACATGAATTAATTAAGGCTGTGGACACAACCAGTGAGAGGAGAGCAGGATGGATGGGTATTTTTCTCCCAATAAATTGTTCTATGTTACCATTTGATTTGTGAGAGGGGTTCCCATTTCCAAACATGCGACAGAGACACAACAACATTCTAAATAAGCGTGGAGAAGACATCTGGTGAAAATTAGTCATTTGTTGCTTGCTTGATTCAAACGACTTAGATTCACTCCAGTAAGCAATTTTTCTTGGACGTGTGTCACACAAGGGATGATCCAGTGATCTTAACTTGTTTTAGTCTATGTTGGAAAGAATAAATCCCCCAAGCCAAGGTTGTCAACACGGTTGCCCTTTGTCTAGACTGTCACAGATAATGGTCAGATCAAGCTCCATTAACCGCTACCACACTCTCTATCACACATACCTGGCACTTAGGAAATTTAAGTTTCCTTAAATACATACCTCCCACTGAAGTGTGTCTCACCAGTCTCTCAATAAATCATGGATCAAAAATATAAAAGAATGTAGAGGGAGAATTTTAAATGTTAAAAGTTCTTCTGCCTTAATTTTAACATAGTAAAACCCTTCACAGAAAGATACTAATAACTAGTTCTCAGCTCAAAGAATCTACTTACTTTTTTTTCCTCAAAAGAGCCTCTATCTTATATTTTGAACTGTTCTATCAGCTCTGTATTACTGACAGAAAATTGTAAGGCACAACACAAAACTATGAAGTGTTTTAATACCAAGTATCTGCCAAGTGACTTTCAGTCACGTTAGAGTACAAAGATTTTTTTCTTTTTAATCATATCTAATGAGAGAATTGAAACAGAAACATCAAATTCCTGGCCTAGAATTCCAGCTTAGTTGGTATCTAAGCATGGACTGAAAACCAGATTATTTCAACTCAGCCTTCCAGATAAGTAAGTGGAAAGCACTGATTTTCAATGACTCATACATGCTTTAAAAATAATGGAAGCAGGGGCTCCCAGCCAAAGTCAACTCTGGGGAGGGGAGGAGGTGTTTTTATTTGCAACTTCAATGAGGGATGACTGATTACCCCCATGTGCATCAAGACGAACTCAAGGTGATGGCAGACTGAATTCAAAACTGCATAGTAGACATTCTTCCCTATCTTTGAATTTGTTTCTGAAACAGTTAAGAGTCATTTTTAAAACAGATTCATTTTTAACTTTTAAAGTATGACGTTCTTCTCTCCCCTCCCTCCCTCTGCTCATCAGCCCCTCCATCGAAGACTTAAAAGCTGTTGTGAAAACTCTGGCAATTGAGTCCTAATCCGCAAATGGCTCACACAGGGCAGGACGGGAGGGCAAACACAAGGTCTCACAAAAAAATTAACGAGGCCCACCAGAAAGGACAATACTTTGCTCCTTTAAGGAAAATCACTAACCCTTCTTTGAGGTAATTGTAAAGTATCTGCTTGGCCGTCTCCTCATTGGTTTGTTGAGTGAGCTCTTGCTGGCCCTTTAACAGATCCGGCGTGGCCTGGAACACAATGTCTGTCATTAGATCACCAGATGATGTTTCCAGGAAGAAGACAAAAACCTCACAGCAGAAACTTCCAAACACATTCCTACTTTCCAAAAACGATTCCTCAGGTAAGGATGCTCATTACAACTGGTTCTACCGCTTAGGAGAACTATAACCTTGGGCATGTTACTTAACTTTTCCTCACCTATGTTCTGGCCTGTAAATAGTACCTGCCTTCACATTGGTGCATAATACATAACACATAGTGATAGGCACTTAACAACCTTATTATCATTTTTATCATTATCATTATTTTTTTATTGTAAATACCAAAACACTAAATGTACCACTTAAATGAATTCCATCACTTCAGGATAAACCTGAATGAGGATTAACCTAATTTCTCAGGACAGAAATTAACCCAGTCACTCTGTATCAAGAGGAAAACAAACACATCTAAACAAACCTAAGCATGGAGTCTCTTGTTTTTTGAAACAAACTCTGCATACATTCAGATTTTACACATACATGAAAAGAAAAATCAAGCCTTCTTAAGGGTTTGACAAGTTACTTTACAGACAAGAACAAGAACAGGAGTCCAGCAGTAGTTGAATTAATTCAGAAAACCAAACGATTGTCAGTAGATCATAATTTACGGGAAAACTCTTTAAAAAAAAACTTTATATATATATATAGTGCAATTACTGATTCAGGATGGAGGATATGCATTCCTACAGCCAGGATGTAGATCATTTAGAAGGAACAAAAAGACTCCCACCAGTATTACCTGAGTATTGGAGGTGGAAGTAAATGTCTTCACAGAAATCCGCTTGGTACCAGAATCAGGGCAAGTTGCTGGTGCCCGATTCTGTAGCATCAACGTAGCGGTGGCCGTCTTGATTTCCTCCTCCTTAGCCTGTGCTGGGAGGGAAGATGTGCGCACAGTCGGATTTTCCGGACCACCTCTGTTTTCCGGAACTTTCCCATCTTTGCTCTGCGGGGGCTGCGGCGGCCTGGGCTGGGCTCCCTGCAGCCTGGCGAAGGCGCGGCCGGCGCCCTGCCTCCCGCGGTGCTCCTGCACCTGCGCCCTCTGCGGGCACACCTGTGACGGCCGCAGCAGGTGCTCACTGGACTTGCCCAGGTTCCTGCTAAACTCATTCAGGTACTCCGAGTTCCCCTGGAGACCGAAAGGAAAGGCACTATCCACGCTTCGAGACCTCTTCCTGTCTTCAGGGTTGATTCTGTTTCGCTTCCCGGACCTGCCTCTTCTCTGCAGCCCAGGTTTCTGGTCGAATTTTTCAATTAACTGATCCACGCAAGGAATCGATCCCGTATCAATATCCCGCCCAGTTCCAGGCAAGAAGGGGATGTATCTTCTGTTTTCATGTCGGTTCACGTTTTCGGCGTGGATGGCACATTCTTGGTCGTCGAGTAAAAATCTGTACAAAGAGTTGGCTGAAGTGGGCGTGGTGGACGACGAGGAGGATCTCCGAGACCGAGCTCCGTCCAGGACGGGTCCAGCTGAGTCCTGGCGCCGGAAGGGAAGTACATCGGGCCTGATTTTCTTGGCTTCGGGGTGGGCGTGCAGGCTGAGGGCAGGTAGGGGTCTCCCACTAGGGGAAAGGGCGTCCTCTGCCAGCCCTTCCTTACTGCAGCTCTGAACATTCACGCACACGGACGTCTGCTTCTTGGGGTCGTCAATGATCACGGAGCTGCACAGTCGAATGGCCGTCGTGCTGGATTTCGCCGCGTCTTCCAAGGGAGGGCTGGTAGGCTGGGAATGACTAGGTTTGGGTGAGCAAGTCCAGGCCTTTTTATGTTGGTACCGTCTTCTGTTAACGTTTTTAGCCAATTACTCTCAGGAGCCTGGTGATTTTGTAAGTTCAACTCATTCTTTTCGGGATCGTAGGGCTGTAAAAGCTCTGGATGCTTCTGAAAGTTCAGCACGGGAGATGGCTTCATTGGCTCTGCTTTGCGTTCTAGAACTCCATTCTTGCCCTCAAAGAGAGGGGCTTGTTTCAGGTTTCTTACTGGACTGGGTTGGGCATATGGGTTTTCTGGGAGCTCCAGTTCTTCGGCACTGTTTTCCTCCAGCACACAGCCGTTGCTGGAATGGAGAGGCGGGGTATTCATCACTGGAGGTGGAAATGATGGCCCGTTTTCAGAAAAAGATGGACCTGCCAGACACCGCTCTGTATTATTGAGAACTATGTAGGGGTGACCATCAATCCCCTGTACCCGAATACTGACACCGTAGGAGCCTGCCTTAGAGGACTGGGAATTCCTGGATTTTTTGGTTTCGTCACTTGCGAGTCTCAGATGGACACCGTACTCCTGCTGCACATGCTGATATTCCCCGAAATACAGCTCCATGGTTCACTGTGCCCGCTACCAGAGAAAGATGGAGTAAAAAGAGGACATTAAGTTAGAATTACACCTGTTTAAATGATGCGGGAAAACCTCAAAGTTCAAGGAAAACAAAACACTTGAAACAGCAAGGACACTTCAGAACCAAATGCTTGTCCCAGCAGGCCTTTCTGGATGCCCGTGGGCACACGTGACCGCGGTGTTTGTCAACACTGGGCTTGAACTCTGGCCTTAGGGTGGATGGCTGGTGAGATGACCTGGCAGAGCTTAATTATTGTTTCTAGCTGACGGGCTGTGCTGGTTACCTTTTTTTTTCCTTAGTTGGTTTCCTCACGCTTTATGCTATTTATTTTTAACCAATCGGATGTTCCAGTTACCAGCATTTGAGACCAGGGTACTTTTCCATGAAAATAATTAAGAGCTAAGGCGTTCTGAAGCTCACCATTTTTCTTTTTTTCTATACTCCTAATTTTCCTGTCAAAACAGTCCTTTTCTTTATGCACAACCTTGCTTTGAAATCTTTATCATTATTTATTTGGCTGTACTGTTTAAAACATTTTTACTTTAAGGAATCAGTTGTATGTGAGACCAACAATGAGAATAAATGATAAAAAATAATTTTCTAACTTTTTTTAATCCAAAAAGTCCAAGTAACATAAGGATCTGAAGAATGTTATTTTAAAAAAAACTGTAGACTCTGGGCTCTTTACCTTGTGATGGGTCCGAATGCCAAGAACCACTGACTTCACCTTTCTGGTGTGTGGCCACCCCTGTCAGAGACTGCCCTCCGATCACCAGGCAGGAGACCCAGCCCTCATTGAGGTTCTCACCAGAAATTCACCTCTGTCACTCTGAAAGACTCTGCCAGCCATGGAAACGCAGAAACAACTGGTCACAGAAAACAGCTGTCTCTTTTCTTTCCCTGTTAGTGGCCTTTTTGAGTTTTCTTTCTATTCTGGAGTCCATCTGGTAGCATACTGTCCAAGAAAAGCATCTACTTCATCCACATTTTTGAATTTATTTGCACAGAGTTTTGCAAAGTATAAATCATTCCATCTCCTCCCCATTTCTCATTATTTAGTTTTATTTGTACTTTCTTCACCGCTTTCTTAATTATGCAGGTAAAATATACATCTATATACTCTTTAAAATTGTTGTTCCCCTAGAGAACTAGTTCTTAGAGTTATCATTTCCTCTTTTTTCATTTTCCAGTTTATTGAGTTCTAGTTTGATCATTATCATTTCCTTCTGCTTTCCTTTATTCGGTTATGTTTCTAATTTCTTGACTTGCATGCTTCATTTGTTTATTTTCATTCTTTAATTATATTCCAAAAATTATATTCCCAAAATAGCAACTTAAGAGGAGATTTTTCCCCCAGAGGTAGAAAGTCCAGAGCTGGAATGGATGCCAGGATATTTTTGAAGAACACCTCTTCTATTCTTCCACTCATCTACCTTTAGCATGTATTAGACTTTATGATTAGACTTTGTGATTACAAGATAGCTGATCCAGCATCACATATACCAGAAGTGTGTAACATTTTAAAATAATTTAATTTTTTATCAAAGTTAAACAAGATAGAATGAAAACCTGTACTCTCCAGCTCCCCTTTCCAGTCTGGATCATTCCTCAGAGGAAACCAACTGCAAATGTAGCTGTTTATACAAGAGTGCTTACCTCCATGTCACTAAGTAATACACTTAGCTGCAATGCAGTCATTTATTTTTTTTCATATGGTAGGTGACCCACACACACAGGTGAATTTCTCATTCTGCCAGCTTCCCAATAATAAAACAGGAGCCAACTGTGTTTACATTATTATGATTCTATAAATATTGGTCATTAAAGAGCCAAATTGTAGACACTGGTCATCTTTCCTTCCTTCCAAAGCTTTAACTTTTCTAGAGGTAATACTTGCTATTTTTACTTGTCTTCTATGTACCTATCCTTAAATTTCTTCATCAGCTACATCACGTCTGTTGGACGCTTCCCAGTATTAACCTCCAGATGATCAAGATACTAAATAATTTGGTGATTTGTTCCCCCGGTGACCTCCCTTGTGCAAACTTCCAACCCCCTGCCTTACTTTAGGGTCCGGTTGCTCTCTTCCTACTGTGTTATTTTGTTTCCCAAGTTTCCTGCCTTCCTCTTAGTTTCCCCAATTGGTCTGATGGAACACACTTCCAGTAACTTTTGAAGAAAAGGTCCGAGGGAGAAAAAATGTTGAGTCCTTGTATTTTGAAAAATCTCTTTATTCTATGCTTACTTTTGAATGATAATCTAGCTGGATTTAGCATCTAGGTTTGAAATAATTTTCCCTCAGATGTTAAAGTATTAGCTCCATTATCTTCTGGTTTCCAGGGATGCTATTACAAATTCTGGTGCTGTTAGAACAACCCTTTCTTCTGTGCCCGGCTTGTTTATTTTCCTCTTAGTTTTTAGGACTTTTACTTTGTGCTCAGTGTTGTGAAATTTCACAATGATTTTCCCTAGTGAGGATTGTATTAAAGTGGCCAGTTTTATAAAATATGAGCATTTAATATATTCCTTCAATTTGGAAATTCACTTTAGTTCTACTAAATGTTCTTGTATTATTTCTGTGACAATGTTTAGAGAACCATTTTATTTTGCTCTTGGTGTCTGCATCTAATATATTAGTAATGTTGAACCCTTCAGATCAAATTTCAATTTTTCCTGTTTCTTTTCTCATCTACTTCTCAACTCCATCTTTTTCGTTCTACTTTTTGAGAGATACATCTTCAACTTTTTTTAACTCAAGTATTTAATTTGTAATTTCCATTATTTCTTTGCTCTTCTCCGTTTCTCCTTCTTAGGTGCTATTTTCATTTTAGATATGAAAAGAGCTTTTCTCTCTCTTTACCATTATTTTTTTCAAAAAATAAATTTTCTCTGCTGTCTGCAGCATCTCCAACCTCTGCAAGGTTTCTCTTTTCTGCTTTGTTTCAGTCCCTATCTTTCATGTTAAAAGCCTTTCTAATGTGACTCAGATCTTGGGCTGCCTGATCTTATTTAAGAGGAAAGTAGTAAAAGTAGATTGGAGGCTCTGTATTTATGGAGAAGAGTTATTAGCTGGTGAGCTTCACGGAATGTCGGGGGGGAAGTGCCAAGCTTTCCACTGAGGGACTTGCACATTTCAGTATCTATGGGCATTTTTTCTCCCTGAAGTTGTTTGATTTCCCAAGAAAAGAACCCTCCAATCCATTACTGGGGTGCACAGGCCTGGCTGCTGGCCTACGGGACAGGGCAGGGGGAGAACATGGAGGTCCCAGCTAGAACTCAATTCAATTCCCACTTTTAGTCATCCACACCGGCTTCCAACACTATACCAGTTCAGCACCCTCAGGGAAGGGACCTCCAGTCTACTGCAGGGGTGAGGAAGAGGACAGGGGCAGGTGGGTGCCAGGGATCCAAGGCCCAGCGTAGAGTCTGGAGGTCTAACTGCTCCAGTCCTCACGGCACTTAAATAACTCCCTAGACACTGGTCCCTCACCCGGCCCCTCACAGTAACTGGTGCCCTCCCCTTCCGAGCCTCTCCGCCGCTCTGCAGGCAAACCATCTCACGTCTACACTGTCGGCCACTTGGGCTGAAGGATGTTATCACCCCAATAACTATCCTTCCTCCGTCTGCGTCAGACTCTCCTCCATAAGTCTCTAATGTCATTCTTTGTCTTTGGAGGCTTAATTTCTCCTCCTTCGCTATTTTCTGAGTGAGATTTTGAAAAGGAGGTATCTAGTTTATCTAGCTAGATGAGACTAGTAATATCTGTAAAACCCCTTCAATCTGAGAACAAGAACAGCAAACACGCCTCAGACAGAACCACACACCAAGGCCAAGACCAAAATGCCCAGGTGCATCTCAATCCCTGAATTCTGAGTAGCACCAGCACGTTTTATTCTGGATCTCTAGTGTTGTTCGTACTCACTAAAGTTTGTAACAAATATTTTTTAACAGAAGAGTTTCTGTACAAATTTATTCACTGTGATACTTTTTTAAAATAGTATTTACTAAATGAGATCATTTTATTCACCCATAATCCCCTTTATGCTGACTCTGAATTTTTATGAAAATATTTCTATTATCTATTAATAAAATTCTTTTCTAGGGTTTTATAGTCCTTTTGTTAGTTGCTGCTAGTACATACAGTCAACACTAATTACATTTCAATCTTTGAGTAAAGCCACCTTGGTTTATTACATTCTTAGCTCCTTGTTAGCAAATTAATCCGCCTATGTGAATTTCATGAGATATCCATAATTTACACTCCTTAACAAGAGACCTCAATCCAGTATTTTCACAGAGTGACATTTCTCAGCTGGGCACTGTTGTCATAAGCCAACATGGAATTCCTTCCCAACCACGATGTAACCACTGAATTAGTGAATGGATTTAAGGACAGCTGTTCTCTGTCTTCAGCCACCAGGCCACGTGACAACCTACCGCGCTCCACAGGCACACTTGTGCAGTCGGGGACTAAGCCTAACCAAGGGCTTACATAATTTGGCAGCAAATGCTGACCAATTCCCAGGATGTAACACTGTGGCACTTGGCAAATAAAAGTGATGCTTTGGAGTGGAAATAATGCTTTGAGGAAAGACCGTTAAATGATGATAATTGCTTTAGTTAGCAAGATCAATGAGTGTGTTTGTGAGTAAGAACAAAGAGCTTGGCACTTGGAAGAACTACAAACGTATGCCAGGTAGCAATATTTCCCCTCACTGGGCCATCACATGTTATCAGCTGAGCCCAGAGATTAGCCCCAGTGCCGGGCCACACCTCCCGCCTCACCACCCTAATTCCCAGTGGTACCTCCAAGCCCTGGAAGTATACTGACCAGCCATTCCAGAGGCCTTCCTAACCACTGCGGATATGCAGCCGGTGAGAAACCTTCTCACATGGTTTGCCCTCCCTCCCTAGGACAGCAGCCGCCACCAGCCAGGCCAAAGTACCCAGCATAGCACGTGGCATGGGGCAGGATCTCTGTGTGTGTACGTTTGCTTG